TGCACTCCAGCCTGGGCAACAGAGTGAGACTCCAACTCAATAATAATAATAATAATAATAATTCAGTTCAGGCAGTAAATGTTGGTTCTGTTCTATCTGTATCTCATATGTTTTCTAATCAGAGTCCTGGAAAGTTTTTTTTTTTCCTCTAGTTTGATGGTACAGTCTCCAATGTTGCTAGAAATTGGCACTGAAGAGCACTTGTCAGACTTTTTTAGCTGATAATAAATTAATTTTAAAAAAGATTAAAGCAAAACAATAATTGTAGATGCAAAAGTCTTAGGACAGCCATTGTCACAGACACAATTGACAAGAAATTGGGTTATTGGCATGTAACAACCTAATATAATAATTATTACTATTGATAACATATACTAAGACATATCAGAATTATAGGAATGTCATATAATCTTGGAACACATGCCAATAACACACATAACTATAGCCTAGAAAAAGTTAAACACTCTTTCAGGTTTGACAATGCTTTCTGGGTGATTTTAACATACCAAGTGAGTTAAGTGTCTCGAATTTCAGGGAAACCTAATATCAAAAAATATTATTTAAAAACTAGAAAGATTGAATTGAGAACCTGAAATTTTCATATTGGAAAGTTTGTTCAATATTAAAGAGTTTAAAAGCATGCTATCATAACACAGGGTTAAAGGTCATTGTAAAATAGTCATTCATTTAGCCAAAATGATAACTCAGAGATTTATTTGAGTTGCAGTCTCACTCCGTCGCCCAGGCTGGAGGGCAGTGGCATGCTCACAGCCACCCCAGTGTCGACCTGCTGGGCTCCAGCGGTCCTTTTGCCTCAGCCTTCCAAGTAGCCAGAACTATAGGCATGCACTACCATGCCCGGCTAATTTTTAAAATTTATTGTAGAGACGAAGTCTTGCTAGGCTGCCCAGCCTGGTCCCGAACCCACAGGCTCTGGCAATTCACTGGTCTCAGCCTCCCAAAGTGCTGGATTACAGACTGAGCCACCGAGCCCAGCCAATTCAGAGATGTAAAAAGCAAAAACTCTACCTTTGATAGAGGAGATTTATTTCCTTAAACACTTAGAACTAAGAAAGACATCAGGGGGTCAACTGAATCTGTCTCTTTCCCTCTTTTTTTTGTAGTTTAATTAAAAAGCAAACAAAAATCTTTAATTCTTTTTTGAAATTACACAAACATTTTGTTTAAAAGAGAATAGCAAATTTTGTCCTTGCATGAGGGTATTAGTTACATTAAAATTAATTTTAATAACACCTTATAAACAAATTTATTTAATTTTAATTAGTCTGACCAAAAGGTAAGGTTTTTATTAACTCTTTTTAACCCTTTACAATATTTATTAAAGGGTAGATCAGTGCTCTAAGAAAACTGTTATTTTGACAGAATGGCATTCTGACCCAGCATCAGTGTGCTTTTGGATTTAATGTTTTGGTTTTTTTTTAAAGAAACATTTATTTATTTATCTTTAGAGATAAAGTCTCACTATGTTGCCTAGGCTGGTCTCGAACTCCTGGGCTCAAGCAATCTTCTACCTCAGTCTCCCAAAATGCTGGGATTACAGGCATGAGCCACCTGGCCTGGCCCCACAAATAATTATTTGCACAACTGAGGTTTAATCGAAGACTTTCCAACAATGCCATTCACAATTTCTCTAAATATAAACAGACTCCTCGGACTGACAGGTCATCTCTGTATTCAAGACATTTTAAAATTAAGAGAATTAAATTTAGCTCAATGGTCTGTGCCCATTTCCAATTTTGAGCAGATAGATTCTATATATCACTGAATTGAGGTTTAAGAGGTGTTGGAGGATACAAGAGAAAGGGTGGCATGGGACTTTCGGGTAACCAGGCAGGAATGGCCAGTTCCCATGCTTTACTGCACCCCACAAACAGCACCCAGCATCTAAGGCTTCATCTGTCTGGCAGAAGGCGTTAGCCAGGTGTAGTAAGGTGACCAAGCTTTCTTTAACAAACAAACAAACAAACCCACCAAAACTCTCAGCAAACCACACAGAATGAACAGTGGTGTCATAGAGCAATAATGTTCAACATAGGGGCTCATGATTTCCCAGAGTAGCAATTTGCTTCTGGTGCTGGATGGTACCAAAGTTTGCATATAGACTTCAAAATGGTTTTCTACACTGTCTGGTTCCCAGAATGCCTGCTTGGAAAAGTGAATTGGAATGGCATAGGCCGCCTTTTCCTGTAAGTTAGGTTAGCCGGATCCCTTAACCAGAGGAACGGCCCCCAAATATCTATAATTAGACCAAAGATACTCCTCTTTTTTCTTTTCATGGTCTTTTTGATATTATTGTTCTATGTCAGTGGCCACATCTCTGTTCGCCTGGGCAATTTAGTAAATGAAACATAATCCTAAGAAAGCCCTTACAGACACTCTCAAAGTTTATATGGTTCAAATTCCCAACAATTTCACAAGGACAAATAGTTGATTGTAATCTATCTTGGGCAAAGCTCAAAACTTTAGATACTAACTCACTTCCAAACAACTTGACTGTTGTCCAGGTGCGGTGCCTCATGCCTATAATCCCAGCACTTTGGGAGGATGAGGCAAGAGGATCACTTGAGATCAGGAGTTCAAGACCAGCCTGGGCAACACAGCAAGACCTTGACTTTACTCAAAATAGAAAAAGAAAAGAAAAGAAAGACCTGGCTGTTAGCATTTGAAAATATGAACAACCTGACTGCTCAAACACCAGAGAAACACCTTTTGCCCCATCCCAGGTCCTTTCCTCCCCACTCCTAGTAGAAAAGCAAGGGGGACCTTACAGTCGCTACTCGGAAAGAAACATGGCTTCTTCCACCCGCTCTGTGCCTTCCACCAGGAAGGATCACTTGAGTCTCGATTCCGCACAATACAGGGCTCAGGCCACTTCCCACATCCACTTGCCTCCAGTCAGGGTGGGCCAGTGACCTGGCTGGAGGGAGCAGAAACACAAGTGGCAGGGGAGAGAATCTGTAGGTGACTTCAAAAGGAAGAGGAACAAAAGAGGAAGCAGAGACTCAGAGGAGAGTGAGAGACTGTGACTTTACCCACAAATCCATGGGGTGGCGGCGACTGCTCATGCCCTGCTCTTGGGCACCAGAGATGAGGCCAGGTGGGGTGTGGTATAGTTGCTCTGTGGGTTCTTGATTTCACCACAGAAAAGAATTTCAGAACAAATCCAAAGTATAATTTTTTTCTTTTTGAGTTGGAGTCTCACTCTGTCGCCCAGACTGGAGTGCAGTGGCCACTCCCGGCCACCGCAGCCTCGACCTGCTGGGCTCCGGCCATCCTTCCGCCTCAGCCTTCCGAGTCGCCGGAATTACAGGCACGCGCTACCATGCCCGGCTGATTTTTTGATTTATTGTAGAGATGAGGTCTCGCTGCCCAGGCGGGTCTCGAACCCGCGGGCTCAGGCCATCCACTCACCTCAGCCTCCCAAAGGCGTGGGATTACAGGCTGAGCCAACGAGCCCGGCCCAAAGTATAATTTAAGAAAGAATTTATTAGAAAGTAAAAGGCATGCTCAAGGAAAGCGTGGGTGCCTTAAGAGAAAGGGCACATGCTTGCCTTTGACAAAAAGGTTTAGATAGTTTTACAACGATGATTAAGCAAACCATGAGCTAAAAGTGGTGGGCTGTAGGTATCGGGTCACAAGTTTTGATGACCATTGCTCAACCTTCTAAGGTCACAAGGACCTACTGCATAATGAAAGTTACTGTCTAACTAGCTTTGAACTTTTCATAGAACATCATGTATGTGTTTTGGGTAATTCTCTATTGTTTCTGTGGTTTTTTGCTCTAATAGTTTGATTGTGGGTGGGGTACAGTACAATTGCTTTATGGGTTCTTGACTTCACCACAGAAAAGAATTTCAGATTGAGTCCAAATCATAGTTTAAGGCAGTTTATTAAAAAGAAGGCATGTTCAAGAGAGAGAGGGTGCCTTAAGAGATCAGGGCATGTGCTTGCCTTTGACAAGAAGCTTTATATAATTTTACAATGATGATTAAGCAAACTATTCCATGAGCTAAGAGCAGTGGGCTGCAGGTATTTGGTCACAAGTTTTGATGACCATCTCTCAAACTTCTTTTTTTCTTTTGAGTTGGAGTCTCACTCTGTCACCCAGACTGGAGTACAATGGCCGCTCCCGGCCACCACAGCCTCGACCTGCTGGGCTCCAGCGATCCTTCCACCTCAGCCTTCCAAACAGCTGGAACTACAGGCACACGCTACCACGCCCGGCTAGTTTTTTGATTTATTGTAGAGATGAGGTCTCGCCAAGTTGCCTAGGCGGGTCTCGAACCATGGGTTCAGACAATCCACTCACCTCAGCCTCCCAAAGCCTGTTTTTATTATTTACTGTACCGCACACCAGGAGCTTCAATGCCAGAGAGGGTGCAATGTAGTTGCTCTATGGGTTCTTGACTTTGCCACAGAAAAGAGTTTTAGAGTGAGTCCAAAGTATAGTTTAAGACAGTTTATTGAAAATAAGGCATGTTCAAGAGAGAACATGGGTGTCTTAAGAGAAAAGGAATGTGCTTGCTTTTGACAAGAAGCTTTATATAATTTTACAATATTGATTAAACAAACCATTCCATGAGTTAAGAGCATGGGTTGCAGGTATTTGGTCACGAGTTTTGATGACCATCTATCAACCTTCTAAGGACACAAGGATCTTCTACAAAATTAAAGTTACTAATAGCTTTGGGCTTTTTGCAGAACATCACGTCTGTGTTTTAGGTGATTATCTATTGTTTCTGTGATTTACTGCTCTGGTAGATCCACATCTCAGCCCACAAGGTGGTCAGGTCTGATATGCCAGGTCAGTCGGGTGAAAGTCGTGTATGGATAGGAAAGATGTCTGAACACTTATCCTATTTTGATTATACCTGCCTGCAAGAAACTTATTTATCTATGTCTAAACTGTACTGTTAACCTGCTTCCCTGTGAGGGGTGGACGAAGGGTACCCAAAGCCTCATCCATCTTTTCTTTGCAGAACTCAACTGCCCGAAACCTGCTGCCCGCCGCCGTCGTTCTGTGCAGCTCACGGAGAAGAGGATGGACAAGGGTGGGAATCCCTGCCAGCAGCCCCTGCCGCAAGCCCCATCCCCTGTGGGACCCCAGCCTGACCTTGTAGGGGCCGGAAAGCAGGGAGGGGGGCTTGGCTATGGGAACGTTTTCCCTGGGGTCTGCCCAGAGTTTCTCATGCTTTGAGGAACCTGGCTGAGGGTCTGTGTGGGGGACCACGCTTCCACAGCCGGCCAGTACCCCAAGGAGGTGCGCAAGTGCTGTGAGGACGGCATGCAAGACAACCTCATGAAGTTCTCCTGCGAGCGCAGGGCCCGGTTCATCACCCAGGACCAGACGTGCGTCAAGGCCTTCCTGGACTGCTGCCAGTACATCACAGAGCTGCGGTTGCAGCACCAGCGCGAGGCATCCCTGGGCCTGGCCAGGAGTAGGTCTTTGGGGAAGGGTCATGAGGGCCTATATCAGGGAGAAGGTGGTCTCTGGCAGGGGGGAGGAGGCCCCTGTCAGGGGGGAGGAGGGAGAAGACCCCTGTCTGATGGACGAGGCCACTCATGTCTGAAAGGAACAAAGCCTTCCGATGGGGAGGCCAGAGATCCAAGTTTGAGGGAAAGGATTTAGTCTGATGGGGGAGCAGGCCTTTCTCTGACCAAGGTGCTTCCTGCCCGAGAGGGTCATCCCAGCCCTGCCAGCCTGCATTTGACATCGCCAGTGTCCATCTGTGGTCCGAGGGAATGTTCCGATGATGGGGCTGGTCTCTCCAGCTGCCAGTGGGGCGATGATGAGGTCTAAGCCCGGCTTCAGCACAGAAAATCCATTTATGTTGCCTTCTGAAGACAGCTGACTCCCTCAATGGACAGACACGCTTATCCAGTTATCCATTTGTTCAGTTTTGAGTAAGACAGAACTTTAGGCTGAGGTGAGTGGATTGCCTGAGCCCGTGGGTTCGAGACCCACCTGGGCAGCGAGACCTCATCTGTACAATAAATCAAAAAATCAGCCGGGCGTGGTAGCACAGGCCTGTAATTCCGGCTACTTGGAAGGCTGAGGCGGAAGGATCGCCAGAGCCCAGCAGGTCTAGGCTGCGGTGGCCCGGAGCGGCCATTGCACTCCGGTCTGGGTAACAGAGTGAGACTCCAACTCAAAAAAAAAAAAAAGAACTTTAAACCTCAGGCCAAGTACATCTTAAGCAAAACAAAGTGAAGTTTCTCCACTAATAAGCCTATTTCAAGCAAATCCAGGATGGTCTCTTTCACCAAGAAGAGATCACCTGAGTGTTTCTGGGGAAATTAGACAAAACCTCTGATCTTCTGAAATAGGCTTTACATCCACACGGGCGTTTTTGTTGTTGTTATTTTTTGTCTTGTTTTGTTTTTTCCAGTATTGTATAATTCTTTTTAGCCCGTTGGGAACCAGAAAAAGAATGGTTTAAATGTTACCACCACAAAGGCACTTGATGGATTATTCCAGAAGTAGTTGTGGAATTCCACCTGCTTGGTTGTTACGGAGATCCAGAACCCAATTAAAACCACCCATCAAGTTTAAGGAAAGTCTAGCCAGGATCAGACCCTAGTCCAGGCCAACTTTATTGATTTGTTGATAGTACCAAGTTGGTTTTTATTTATTTGTTATTTTTTAGAGACAAGGTCTGGCTCTGTCACCCAGGCTGGAGTGCAGTGGCATGATCATGGCTCACCACAGCCTCGACCTCCTGGCTTAATCAACCCTCCTGCCTTAGCCCCTAGAGTAGCTGAGACTGCCGGCAGATGCCACCACGCCAGGCTCTTTTTTTTTTTTGGTAAAGATAGGGTTTCACTCTGTTGTCCAGGCTGGTCTTGAACTCCTGGACTCAAATGATCCTCCAGACTTGGCCTCCCAAAGTGCTGGGATTACAGATGTGAGCCACCATGTCTGGCTTATCAGGCTTGTTTTTAAAGACAATTTCTTCTTCAGTGGTCTGTACCAGGTCTGGATTTGTTCTCAACTCACCTGGTAGCGTTCAGGATCCATCAGATACAGCAGACATGGCGCCTCGGGAGCCTATTTCTTTAGAGGCGCATGCAAATGCTTGCATTTCTTTTTCTTTTCTTTTTTTTTTTTTTTTTTTTTGAGTTGGAGCCTCACTCTGTTGCCCAAGTTGGAGCGCAGCGGCATGCTCATGGCCACCCCAGCATTGTCCTGCTGGGCTCCAGCGATCCTGCTGCCTCAGCCTTCCAAGTAGCCAGAACTACAGGCATGCGCTGCCACACCCAGCTAATTTTTGATTTATTGTAGAGACGAAGTCTGGCCAAGTCTCCCGGGCTGGTCTCGAACCTGCGGGCTCAGGCAATCCAATTGACTTGGCCTCCCAAAGTGCTGGGATTACAGGCTGAGCCACCAAGCCCGGCCAAATGCTTGCATTTCAAAGGGGAAAAATGAACATAATCTACCCTGCATTGTGTGTGTGTGTGTGTGTGTGTGTGTGTATGTGTGTGTGTTTGGGGGGGAGGCTGGAGGAGATTGCTTGAGCTCAGGAGTTTGAGTCCAGCCTGGAGAACATAGCAAGACCCCATCTCTACAAAAAATTAAACAGGCAGTTGCCTGGTGTCCCAGCTGAGACTGAGGTGGGAGGATCACCTGAGCCCAGGAGGTCGAGGCTGCTGTGAGCCATGATCATGCCACAGCCCTCCAACCTGGGCAACAGAGTGAGACCCTGATTCAAATATACATTTGATGAAGGAAGGAGCCCTCAAAGAAATGTGTCTGGGGCTATGTGACATCATCCCATGGTCCTGGGTGCGTTTTGCCTCTAGGATGTCCAGATGCGGCAGCCAGGTAAGCAGCTCTGCCCCAAACTCGGACCCCAACTCTCTTGCAGGTGATTTGGACGAGGACATCATGCCGGAAGAACACATCGTTTCCCGAAGCGAGTTTCCAGAGAGCTGGCTGTGGATCATCGATGAGTTCAGGGAAGCACCAAAGAATGGGTGAGGCTGGCCCGCAATCAACCCACCCCCACAGCCAGACCATTGACTGTGCATACACCTGCTTCCTTGCGCCTTCTCTGGAACCCCTGTGTAGCCCCGCAGTCCAACCTAGAGCAATCAGGAGTGGGCTTATCCACGTGGGCTCACCCTAGGACCCTCTGACCTGTCCCTTGGGGCCTCCCTCCCCCCACCAGACCCCCCCAACTCTGCTAGGTGTCTTCTCCTGATGCCGTGATCTGTCCTCTATCCAGAATCTCCACGAAGAGCATGAACATATTCTTAAAAGACTCCATCACCACTTGGGAGATTCTGGCTGTGAGCCTGTCGAACAAGAAAGGTGAGGGTGAATGGTGTCTGATCTCAGGGTGGCAAGGATCCCAGGGCACCTCAGCACCGTCTCGTTCCATCGAAACCCAGCAGATTCTCTGTTTCTTGGTAACTTAGACTCTGTCCCTGGTTACTGGGGAGGTGCCAAAAGCTCGATTGTGGTGGGGCGGTGGGGTGGGGGTGAAGGGCGTAGTCTCTAAAATCGGTGCTTTCTTTTCATTTCATTTAATTTTTATTTCATGTTTAGAGGCAGGGTCTCATTCCACTGCCCAGACTGGAGTGCTGTGACGTGGTCATAGTTCCCGCAGCCTCGACTTGCTGGGCTCTGATCTTTCTGCCTCGGCCTCCCGAGTAGCCGGGACTACAGGCACATGTCACCACGCCTGGCTAATTTTTTTTTTTTTTAATTTTTGGTAGAGATGAGGTCTAGCCATGTTGCCCAGGCTGGCATCAAACTCATGGATTCAAGCAATCTTCTCACCGAGGCCTCCCAAAGTGTTAGGATTATAGGCACAAGTGATTATGTCTAGCCAAAATATCCAAATTTTAAATAGATACCAGCACCATGCCAAGCCATATTGAAGTCTGCAGCAAGAGGAAAAATGTGCACCTCATATACGTTTCACTTATATTTCAGAGTTAACTTTTCCCCCAAACCTTTAGATAGCTGAAAAAAGATCAACATGTTACAAATTATACATACTAGGCCAGGTGTGGTGGCTCATGCCTGTCATCCCAGTGCTTTGGGAGGCCAAGGCAGGAGGATAGCTTGAGGTCGAGAGTTCAAGACCAGCCTGGACAACATAGCAAGATCCTGTCTCTATTTTAAAAAAATTAAAACTTGTTCAGACCACGATCTTCTGCCAAGACAGGCTGAGCTAGGGACAGCTCTCATGGTTAGAGGGTAGGACCCTGGGAGGGGCAGAAACGTGGACCAGGAGCCTGGCCTCATCCTCTCTGTGCCGTCCCTGCCCTTAACGCTTTGTGGTCTGTCTCTGCCCATGCAGGGATCTGCGTGGCTGACCCCCTTGAGGTGACAGTGATGCAAGATTTCTTCATCGACCTGCGGCTGCCTTACTCGGTCGTGCGCAATGAGCAGGTGGAAGTCCGAGCTGTCCTCTACAATTACCAGGAGGCACAGATTAAGGTAGGTCCCAGGGGTGGGCGGAGGTCTGCCAGGGGCTGGAAGGGGACAGCCCACGGCACAGCCCGTTGCCTCGATGTCCTCTCTCCCTGGTAGGTGAGGGTGGAGCTGCTTCACAATCCAGCCTTCTGCAGCCTGGCCACCGCCAAGAAGCGTCACCAGCAGACGGTCACCATCCCGTCCAAGTCCTCGCTCTCCATTCCTTACGTCATCGTGCCCCTGAAAGTCGGCCTACAGGACGTGGAGGTCAAGGCTGCTGTCTACAATCAGTACATGAGCGATGGTGTCAGGAAGGCTTTGAAGGTCGTGGTGAGTCCTTGGGGACACCTGCAGCCCCTTGACTTTCAAAAACTAGCTGGGCATGGTGGTGCCTGCCTATAGTTGTCCCAGCTACTCAGGAGGCTGAGGCAGGAGGATCACTTGAGCCTGAGAAATCGAGGCTGCGATGAGCTATGATCATACCACTGTACTCCAGCCTGGGCGACAGAGCAAAACCCTGTCTCAAAAAATAAAAATAGCCTCTATTTATGGAGCACTTACTATGTGCCAGGCACTGTGCTCAGTACTTTATGAATACTCTTTTATTTAAGAGATGTTTGAAATACAATAGATTCAAAACAGGCTCTGAGCCAGGCTACCAGGTTCAAACTCTAGTTCTGTTCCACTAGCTGTGTAACCTTGGGCGAGTGTCTTAATCTCTCTGGTGTCCCAATTTCTTCATCTTTCAAAATGGGAGTGATTGTAGCAGTATCTGCTTCATTGCATCATTGTGAGGATGAAATGAATTAACCCCAGTAAAGCTTCTCGGCACATACGAAGGTTTTATTTTATTTTATTTTATTTATTTTATTTTTTTTGAGCTGGAGTCTCACTCGGTCGCCCAGATTGGAGTGCAGTGGTCGCTCCCGGCCACCGCAGCCTCGACCCGCTGGGCTCCGGCGATCCTTCCGCCTCAGCCTTCCGAGTAGCCAAAATTACAGGCATGCGCTACCACGCCCGGCTGATTTTTTTGATTTATTGTAGAGATGAGGTCTCGCTGCCCAGGCGGGTCTCGAACCCGCGGGCTCAGGCAATCCACTCACCTCAGCCTCCCAAAGGCGCGGGATGACAGGCTGAGCCACCGAGCTCGGCTCTATTATTTAAAAAAAATTTTTTTTTAAAATTCTTTGTAGAGGCAAGACCTTGCTATGTTGCCCGGGCCAGTCTCCAACTCCTGTCCTCAAGCGATCCTCCCACCTTGGCCTCCCAAAGTGCTGGGATTACAGGCATGAGCCACTGGTCCCAGTTAGGTTTCATTATTCATTTAAAATTTTGGGATGAATTTGCACAGGTAAACTGTTAGTATTGCCTCCTCTAATAAGGGAGGAAGCAGAGGCACAGAGAGGTTAAGGAACCGGAGCCTAGTCACACAGCTAGAAAAGGAGGAGGCCAGGTTCACATGCCTTGAGGCCTAAGCTAGGGCGATTCTCAGGACACTGCCCTGCTGACCATGTGTGTGTCTGTCTGTCATTTTATTTGCCCAACCCTCCAACACTGCACAGCCGGAAGGAATCAAAGTCAACAAAACCGTGGCTGTTCGCACCCTGGACCCAGAACACCAAGGCGAAGGTAAGTCAGCTACAGGAGCAGGTCGGGGGGCCCAGTCTGAGCCTGATAATGGAGGGTAAGGTGGAAGAGGACTGTTACCATCGTGGTCTCTCACTCATCTGGCAGGGGGGGTGCAGAGACTGGACATCCCACCTGCAGACCTCAGTGACCAAGTCCCTGACACGGAGTCTGAGACTAGAATTCTCCTGCAAGGTGAGACACCCTTGGCCCCGTCCCCAGGAAGGCATCAGAGAGGCCATGAGCCCCATGAAGGGGTGGAGGGAGTCGAGTTCCATCTAGTTTTGGAGGTGTTTAACTATTGTGCCTCCCTGCTGCCCCCAGCCAGAACAGCTCTTCTGGATCTGATTTCTAGAAACCTCCAGGCAGTATTCAGTTGAGCAAAAAAAAAAAAAAGTTGTTGATAAAAAGGTTTAAATGATGGCCGGGCTCGATGGCTCAGCCTGTCATCCCAGCCCTTTGGGAGGCTGAGGCGAGAGGATTGCCTGAGCCTGAGGGTTCAAGACCCCCCCAGAGAACTTGGTGAGACCTCGTCTCTACAATAAATAAAAAATTAGCCGGGCGTCGTAGCGCACACCTGTAGTTCTGGCTACTTGGAAGGCTGAGGTGGAAGGATCGCCGGAGCC